AGAAAAGATTATATAGAAAGGAAACTTTACCTATGTTATTTCTTTTGGTTTATTTTTTTTAAAGGATTTTCACTTACTACTTTACCAGTACCTCATGTCTTTTCTGTTACAGCAGGTGAAAACTGAAGCTGCAGTTTCAGTTCCCCTAGAACTCATGCATCTTTCTTAACTGCTGAAATAAATAATGTTTAAAATAGTCTTTTGAATATTTTTGTATGCCTTAAAGGTACAAAAAGGAGCCAAGTCTGTATCTTCCTCCGTTGCCAGATTACTTTTAGTATATTATTCCTCTTTAATAAGCTGCTAGAAATAGCTGTCTAAAGGTTATCTGGTTTTTATTATATGCATGGAACCTCTCTCTTCTCCCACTCCCAACAGGAAAAATACATCCTGGGTCTTCCAGATGGATCTTTTAAAGATCGTAGCTCAGTGATAGAGCTTCTAGTTTCATGCTGCCTACACTGGGGGCCTTTGATAAGAGCCACACCTGCTTTGGCATCACTGACTTCAGCTGCACAAAGTGGGAGCCCTGAAATATCTGGGTGTTCCCAGATAGTAGCTGACACTAACCTGCTCTGGAAGAGGTCTCTGACTCAGAGGGATGTGGGTGCTGGGTAATCCTGCTGCTCACCTAAAGCATCTGAGGCCAAAATGGGAAAACAGAAATTAGGACCCCAGACTTCACCTGTAGTCAATGGAGAGGTGTTTTCAGGGGTAGCTGCTTCAGGGCATCAGTGGATCATTTGTCACTGGAGACTTGGTTCACAGTTACCAGTAATGGGCTGAGGCTAACAGCAGCAACAAAAAAAAAACACCAAGAAAAAAATTGCCACTGATATAGCTTCAATGTGGCAGTATCTGTTACAGTTCTAGGGCACAATTTTATGTAATTTCTTAAGCAACAAAAGCAGCTTAAAAGGTTTCCTGGGCTGCCTGCTGGTATCCAGCTCTTGCAGAGAGGGCTTTTTCCTGTCTCCTTAGTTCCCTCCATCCATGTGCTGTAACAGCTTGTGGGACCCTGCAGCAAATTGGATTACTAAAACGACTGGGGTTTTGTTGGGAGGTGTTTTTTTGTTGTGTTTTGTTTAGATACAACAAAGGTTGTGGAGTGTTTGTTTTTGTTTGCCCAGAATATTTCAAGGATCTGGTTTAGGCTAACCCCACAAACCATGGCACAGCTGGGCAGGAAGAGGAGCAGACTGCAGCACCGGCATCTATCTGCTTGTGCCTGGAACTCCCTCCAGCTCTGCTGCTAAAGAAAATACAAAGGGGGCTTCACAAACAGTGTGAACCTCTCTGATAAATAATGACTTGGTTCTGCATACTCAGAGTTTCTGGTGAATTGGATAAAACCTAGCAGTAAGTTGAATATGTTCATTGAGGACTTGAAAATGTCAGTTTTGGTGTCCAGGTCCCTGAGTTTGCCATGTTGTTTGAAGTGCTGGATTAAAAGCCAGGTTTGGAGACTGACTTTTTTGTTGTTTTGATTTGTTTTGGGTTTTTTTTAATACATAGAACTGCCATGTTGTGTTGTTTTGTCTCTTCTTACAACTGTATGAAAACAACCTATGGTGGGGAAAGGTGTAGAAAAAAAACACCACTTGGTTTACAGTTTTCACTTTCTCTTGTCTTTTGTGAAGGCTCAGATGTCTCTTTTACTCTGTACTTACTCCTGTACCAACCCAGACACTCTTGATGTTCTTCCATAACTACTTCTGATTATCACAGCCTGGATGAACTTGCATAATCCTCTGTCTTGTTCTAGCAAAATGGAGAGGAGTTAAAGACTAGAGGAGGAGCACAAGGCCCTTGTGGAATCACCCTTCATCTCATTACCAACCATGGGTTGGATTTCTGAACCCCCTCTGGTGCTCTTGCTCTCAGCCATTGAGCAAAGGCTTGTTAGGAAGCTTTAGTTTTACTGTAGTGATTCATGCAGTACAGTTGTATCACTTCAGCTTTTCTTTTTACATTGAAGTACTGTTGAATTTTACTGAGGTGGGGTATTTTTTTTCCCCTTTCCTCCTGCAGTCAGATGTACACTGCAAATGGCACAGACAGTGCCTCCTATTGTGGCTCAGGCTCAAGACTTCACATATGTAAAATGTGACTTGCAGCACTTTCTTTGAAGCCTAACCACAGCCAGGGAGCTGTAATTGCAGTCTTTGATTGCGCCGACTTCACTTGTGGATTGGGCTTTGCTAGGGCATGCCTTGCTTGGCGAGACTTCAGCTACAGCCCCCCAGTGAAGCCTTAGATGTGGGAAGTCTTCAGTCTCCTTAGCACATGCCTGTGGTTTCTTGAAAAGAATCCTGATTTGACCTGTTTTATATCTGTAAGGCAACACCATCGTCATTTGTATTTTTTAGGTATTATTTTGTTTATCAGCAGTAGAAGCAATTTCCAGCCTGTAGTCTTCATGTGCAGCTGGGGGAAAGGTTGGGTTCTAGATGCTGTTTTCAGGATAGCTACTGTGTAATTTGCTGCACTGCAGTATTTGGTTAGAAATAAAAATATTTGAGGCTTTGCTCTGCCTGACCCCTTGCAGAATTCCAGTAGCATCTGCAGCCTCTCTACTGGAGCAGAGGACAACTGGGCTCTGAGAGGGGCTACGGAAAGGAGGCAGGCACTGGAAAAGCTGCCTTTGGGTTGAGAAAGATGGAATGGCTGCTGTTTGAAAAAGCTGAGGGCCAGAGCAAGGCCGCGGTCGTTATTTTAACCTCCTGACTTCAAAGACAGCTTGCTGGTAAGGAAAGGGGGGAGGAGGCAGGGAACCATCCAACAGAAGAGCATTTCATTTCCTTCAGTGAAGTAGACATTCCTGGCTGCTAATGGGGAGTAGCTCTGAATCACAGTGCTTGTATCAGACTGCTGTGAACTACTGGCCTGGCGCCTCAAGGCCATTCCTCAACAGGAAGCTGAATGTTTTCATGTAAGACTGAGAGGAAAACCTTCCCAGGAAGAGCAACCTGGACCAAACCTTTGAAAATCTGGGATGAAAAGGCACAAAATAAATATAAAGCTGCAGGGTGCTCTCCCCAGTGTTCCTCTGCTGTTTGCTTGGCCTCTCTTTCGTGCTCCTTGGAAAGGTAGAGCCCTTCATAGCTCTTTGATCCGCATGTGTTACAGAGCACTGTGCTACTTTATTAAAAAAAAAAAAAAAAAGGCAGGAAGCTCAGAAGGCTTTTTTTAGTTGGGACTCGGGCTGGTTTTATGAGGAAATAGGAACTGTATTAGTCAATACAGACCACCTCTGTTGAAATCACTGGCCTGCCTGTGGACTTTACGCTGTGCTGTTTAAGAGGCCAGAGTATGGCTTTAAATGTCCTTTTGTGGCTACTGGCAGTGAAAATTATTCATTATGTATGAATAATATATGTATCGGGGCGGGGGGGAAGGGGAGAGTGTCCTTCAAATCAAAGCTGTGCAGTGTAGTTTATCATGAATCTGTGCTGCTTCTTTCTACCTTACTCTGTAGCTAAACTTCAGTGTCCTCTTTTCAACTTTTCCACTAAAACAATGGTCCTGTGGGTGGCCCCTGATGAGGGGTCAGCTTGTTCAGTAAGATTTTGGGCCTTCAGCCTGTGCTCACTAAAATAAAAGGGTTTGATTTTGGAGGCATTCTACCCTGGAGTACATTAGCCTTTGTAACTCCTTATTCAGGAGAGACCAACCAGTCCAGGCAAAATGCTTTGCATTCTAATGGCTTACATGGAAGCTGCTGTGGATGGGAGGTGGGTACCCAGCTATGGTTTAAAACAGGCCTGGTTTAAATACTGCTGCTGTAATATTTGCCGATTAATTCTGCTCTTATAGGCTTAAGCATTCTGTCTGTTACAATGAGTCTAACAAAAGTTTGACTTGTGGTTTCAATAACTCCATTTCTTCAGAAACTTGTTCTGCCTTGTCTTGCATGATTCAGGGTGCTGGCAGTGGATCTTCTTTGTGTGACTAAGCATTTTGTGTTTCTGCTGGGGAAAAAAACTCACTTGCTTCCACTTAACTGCATTCCTGTGCTAATTTTGGTCATTCTTAAAAGCTCTGCTCATTGAACCCTCTACTTGTTTGACAGCTGAGTAATACCTGGAGGCCTAAAGGTTAACGTAGATTTTTTTGAGATACCAATAATCCTGGAGAGCATGTGTCCGTATGTGGAAAAACACCTGACTTACTAGACAGTCTTTGGGTGGAGTCTGTTACAACCCAGTTGTCTGGGTTGTAAGGGCAGGGGTGATGGTTGAGTTGGCAGTTGTGTAAGTCAGCTGATGTAACCCAGAGATCTCATGATGAAGAGCTGTTCCTCCGAATGAACAATACCAGTAAGGTTTACACTGGTGGCCTTTTTGCATGCTGTAAGAACATAAATCCATCCAAGATTCTAGTGAACTTTACTGCTAGGTAAGAGGCCCGTGGCTCTTATGCATCTTGAAGGTGTAGCCTACCTCGCTGAAGAGCAGAAGGAATCCTCCTCAGTCACGTGGATGCATGGTAGGGTCAGTGTTCACTCAGGCCTCACCCACCGCATTCCCCATACCAGCTGCTTGCTGAAGACAGGATTTCTTTGTTTCTGCAGGGAGCAGCTCTGGAGGCTCTCCAGTAGAGGTTTAATTGACTTCAACCACTGTAGTACCAAAGCCTGAGAATGTCTAGTTTTGTAACAGATATCTGGGTCAAATGTTGTAGATGAATATAATTCCCTTTAGTAGTGGATTTCATCTGTGATATGTTGAATGTCTAAATGGCTTAAAACCCCACGTTTCTACTTGGTGTGGATGTCTATTTACAATTCAAAGTACTCTCCATAAATATTCTTGCAGACTTCAAGCAAGGACAGATAGCAATACTCTGCACTTAAGTTGGACATTGCAAATGCACATTCCACTAATAAAGTTGTGTCATAATTACACTGATCCAGCTTCTTCAGAGGATTAAAAAAAAAATAATTATAAACGCTCCATATAGACTTTATCACTTTCTCTCTCTCTCTCCCCTCTCTGTAGGTGGGAAAAGAAATGCTTTCTCAACTTGCAAAGCAAAGGCGGCGACACCAGGACCCCTTCTGGAGATGGAAGCTTGTTAAACCCTAGGTGTGTCCTCCATCCACACAGACCACCCCCAAGGAGTCTGTCTAGGATGTCATTCACCCTGATGTCACTGCTAGAGACACTGAATCATAAAGACAATCACTGCCAAATTCCTTCACTATCACAAGGGTCCAGCCCTGATATAAATAGAGCAAATGAGCTCCTGGGTCAGCAGAGCAGCTTTTTTCTTCACTCCACCTCTGCCTTGCACTCTTAAGCCCCCATCTCATCTGTGTCCATATCAAGTCAGCATACAAAGTAGCATGGCTGTCTCTGCCTGCTTCAGCCAATGGAATAATGTAGACCACAGCTGCCCGTACAGCACATCAAGGAATGGAATTTGCCTGGACCAGGATGACACACTCAACCTTCTTTTTATTTAATGGTGCGACAGGATCAACTTTGGTTTTAGCTTTTTTAAGAAACTTGAATGCTTTTATATTTTAACTTTTAGTTTGTAATTTCTTTGGTGTATATTTTACTAGGTATGAGCTTTTAAACAAGTGTCAGAAATCTGAAATACTTTTTAAATAAAAGGGTGTTTTCTTTTTTTTTTTTTTTTCTTCTGCCAGAGGAAAAACCCATATGGATAAAAGGTGGCTTTTTTGTTAAACTATTTGTAACAAATAGTGGCCTCTCAGTCTATATAATACAGTGTCCTACAGAACTAAATAAATGTAACAATAGCTGGTCAGTAGACACGTCAGTCTTGCATCATCTACTCTGTAAACATAAGCAATACATTCAGCAAATCTGACTGCAGTGAGTTCTCCTTCTCACCCATTCCCCTTCTCCTTGTAAAAAGCCCAGCACTTGAATTATTACTTCAATTGTTCTGTATTTGTATCTGTTTTTGTTAGCCTGTTAGTGGGATTTTATGCCAGTTGTTGAAATAAGCATTGATGTACCCATTTTTTAAAATAGTAAGGCACAGCCTTTGCCAAAAATACTGTCAACTGATTTTTATTTTTTTTTTGTCATTCCAGTTTGAGTTAATGTGCTGAGCATTTGTTTTTTAATAAAAGCTTTGTAATAAAACTAAAGTTAATTGTCTGGCTTAAAAAAAAGGAGTTTGCACTTGATGGAGTAGAGTCCCTCAAAGGTAGAAGCAAGAGGAGGAAGGCACTTCTAAGGCAGAAGACTTTTGGCTCAGTCTTCCCTTGTAGGAAATGCAAGTGTCTGTTCAGCTGTTTGCTCACCTGAAGTAAAGTCATTTTGGAAGCTAACTTTTCTCCCTGAAGAGGGCAGAAGTCTCTAGTTTTCGTACGAGGAGAAAAGAAGGGGCAGGTTCAGTGCTCCCTTATGCTTCTCAGTTAACTTTGGTACAAGGGGAAGCACCAGGGTCTGTGGTCCCTTCACCTGTCTTTGGTTTCCTACTAAAACTGCAGTGAACACAGCAGTGGTTTTAAGCTGATGATTATGGATTATATGGATTTCCTTCTTTCTGGATGCAGTTCATGCCCACACAAGGGGCAGGGGCCTACCTGTTATCCCTCAGTCAGGGACTGGAGCTGGCTGCACAATCAGCTGCAGAGGGGTCTGATGTCTTGGTATCAGATCCATAGTCAGCATGGCCTGCCAGTGGTGCCCTTGAGATGTTCCTGCAATAGCAAGCTGCTCCTTTGCGCACTTCAAAACTGAAAGCACACATTTGTGTCTTTTAAGCCCCAAATCCTACCAGCCCCTTCTCTGATACCTTTCCCCTTTTGTTCAGAGACTGGCATTCCACAGCTCTAAAAAACAGATACAGCTGCCTGACTTCTACTAAAGTAGTTCAAAAGGAAAAACACCCCAACACTGTAGCCACAGATAAATTATTCCAGTGGCTTGTGAGCACCACTGCAAAAGAAATACTATGAACTGTACACTGAATCTGCATACCTCATATTCTAGCTCCTGAATCACTGTTTCCTGTGAGACTGGACTTAGTCTAACTTGAGCCACAAGAAATGATGGAGATGAGTTACCGTCCAAGGAAGCTTTGTGATTAGATTATTTATAACTGACCCTTAAGCTCTGTTGCATAATAAATTTCATAATTAAAAATGTTATAAAACAGCTTCCTCTTAAACCAATATGCACTGCACACAAACCCAATTGTAAGAATGTAACCAGTATGTTCCTTCTTGCAGTATTTATTTCTAGCAAAACAAGTGCCCAGGAGCAAGGGAATGCTCTCAGATGGCAGGAGAAGAGACCTCTTGAGAGAACAGCAGCTGTATGCTGAAGTTTGGCAAGACAGTTCTGTTCCAGCCAATTATCCCAGCCTTTGCTGGAAACCTGTCTCGTTTTTGGTTTGGGGTTTGGTTTTATTTTTAAAGGGTAAAAAAGCAAGTATTTTAGTGCAGTAATTGTTCTAAATCAAGGATTACTGCAGTGAGTTTTGTAAATTACATGTTCCAAAGATAACAGTCCTTCTAAAAACTTTAAAGCACAACTACTTTATTTTGATATTTTAATGGCTATTTTAAAAAGCCACTTACCCATTTTGAGAAAAAATGTTCCCTCTAGAGGCGTTAGCCTTATGTAGCACATTGTCCCAAATACACTAGGTAGCAAACAGTTGCCTGTCTTAAGGACGAAAGGTCTTTCAGCTCTAATAGTGAAGGAGAAAAAGAATTCAGGAGCTAAAAATAACATCTCTGCTCTTAACATACAGTGAGCAAGCACCATGTGTTTGGCTCATTCACAGATCAAAGACCTTTCACATATAGCAACTATGGGAAAGGTTAACTAATATGTAAGGCTTAGGATGCTCCCATGAAAGTACCTGAAACAGAGTAACCGCACTATCCTGGAATGCCCTTCGTGACTTGGGTCAGTGTCTACTCCTGCCCCACACTGCTTATCAGCACTTGTTCCTGTGAGACTGGAAGAGCAAGCTAATCTGCACTCAATGTATCCTGCCAGCTTGTCAGTGGGGATGGCCTAGTAATGATGGTGTTACCCTGGGAGTAAGACTAGGCTTAAATACTTGTGATACCCAATTAATTATTCCACATGAGACTCAAAAACGACACCCGAATTCCTGAAGTGCAACTCAGGCAGAAGTCGGCATCTAACCATGTCTTTCTTGGGTGCCAGAGGACATTCCCCTGTATTTCCCACCAAAAATGTCTTCAAGGATTTAAATGCTCCTAGCTTATATCTGAGCTAATTATCCAGCTGCTTCTGTACAAGCATTCATAAATGCACTCTCTGTCCGCTCTCTCCATTCCGTGCATGCATCAAAACCAGTTCTGCACAGACCACCATACACAGGTGGTCCCATTCGTAAGCACAGAAGATATCCTGGTACCACGTCCTTCCCCCTCCCCTCACCAAAAAAATGGCAAAGGGCAAAGACACAGAACAGGGCAGTTGAGTTAGGATTATTTACAGCTAATCAGATCAACATCGAAGGATGGTCTGGCTCCTCAGGCTTCTGGATCACCTGGACTAGAGCCATTTCCCCTCTGTGACATAAAAGAACAATGCTCCAGGGTAACTTTGGCTTCTTGCACAGCAAGTGATAACCGATTCACTAGCTATGGTTATAGGGGCTCGCCAGCTCTAGAGAATTATCTTCTGTTGTAGTTTCCACTTGGAATTAGCTAACAGAAAAGGCATTAAAAGTTACTTGTACAAGTGATTGCTCGATGGTTATGTCAACTTGCAGCAAATGTGGGGCCTTAAGGACCCAATCCTTGCTCTAGGCTGTAGGACACCACAATCCAGAGCATCGGTCATCTCCACTCCTTTGAAGCTACTAAAATGCACAAGGCTTTAAAGCAACCATTCTATTTCCTGATAGCTTCCTGCTCTGATCTACATGGCAGTTAATATAGGCTAAAGCAAGACAGGCAAAAAATGAAGGACACTGCAGAGACTATGTAATGCCTGCTAAACTTTCCAAAAACACAACTGCAGTTTGTTCTCCTGCATTCACAGGGGGGCCTAACATGCCAGGAAGCCTCTCCTTCCGCCAAAGGACCTAATATAAAGTAGAGCATTATGGAGGAAAGAAACAACTCCACAAGTAGCAGAAGCCTGTCAGCTACAAACACACTTCTCCTAAGTTGGGTCAGTGACAAAACTACTGGGCTAAGAAGGCAGTTAGCTAAAAGGAGAGCAGCTGTGACAGGAAAAGGCATATCCTCAGGAATATGGGAAATAGACATCTTAACCACCAGCTTTCAGCCAGCTCAGAGCAAGGATTAAAATTCTGCTCCCCATCCTCCCAGATAAATACTCATACCCTCAGGCCATGGTCTTTAGAATCACAGAATCATAAAGGTTGGAAGGTACCTTAAAGATCATCAAGTTCCAACCCCCTGCCATGAGCAGGGAGCCCTACCACTAGATCAGGTTGTACAAAACCTCATCCAACCTGGCCTTAAAAACCTCCAGGGATGGGGTATCAACAACCTCCCTGGGCAACCCATTCCAGTTCCTCAACACCCTTGTAGTGAAGAATTTCTTCCTAAAGTCTAACCTAAATTTCCCCTCTTTCAGTTTAAGATTACCCCTTGTCCTATCACTGTCTTCTCTGATGAAATGCCCCTCCCCAGCTTTCCCATAGGCCCCTTTCGAGTACTGGAAGGCTGCTATAAGATCTCTTCGGAGCCTTCTCTTCTCTGGGCTGAACAGCCCCAAATTTCTTAGCCTGCCTTCATAGCAGAGGTGCTCCAGCCCTCTGCTGGTGGCCCTTCTCTGGACCCTCTCTAACAAAGGGACATTTAAATGACATCATCATCTGGCTGGTGCACTCCTGCATGAACTGTAACTTCAGTGAGCCACAGAAGCAGTGTCTGCTTGGCTGAGATAATAGTCACTGTTTACCTGGTCTGGGATTCTTCCCGTCAATGATATTGTATAATACACATTTAAAGAAACTCACCCTTCCCACCTCCCAGAAAACAAACACATACAAGTAAGTGATAGGTTCCTTCATCCCTCTCAGCTATGGAAAACCAACATGAGCAAGCAGAGGTAGGAGAAAAATTTCTATCTACCACACAACAGAAAAGAAACTCACCCAAGAATGCATCTGTGCTCAGAAAAGGTAACTACAACAAAATAAAATCTTCAGCAGAATAAGAAAAATAAAATAAGAAAAAGAAAATATTCCACAACTTAATGGTGGTTAAGACACTTACTTGGAGACACAACTCTTTGAATTTGAAATAATTTCCTGCAGCTAAGAAAAATGGCTAAAAACCCTGCAGGATATTGATTAGGCTGAGGTAGGACCATCTCTGTCTCCTTTTAAGACAGAGAACAAGCCACAGAAACAAGAACTCATCTTGACAAAGCTAAATGCTATATAAGGGTTAGTTTTTCTCTGCACCTGCCTGTGAAAGTGAAGTCCTGGGAAATAAAAGAGGAGACAGTACACACCAGAACACGGCAGTAGCTACACCCCTTGACTAAGATGAAGTTTCAAGGCCAAAGATGAACAAGATTCTTAAAATCTAGTTAAATCTAGTTTCTGCTTTTGCTACCCTGAAACAGATTTCCTTCTTACAGTTCTCCTGTGAAACCTGTTTTATTTTGTCATGACTGACATCATCAGCAACAATTTCCTCTCCACTCAATCCTAAATTAGATAGGCAGTAATCATCTTTGCAAACAAACCATTTAGCAGAACAGCCACTGCTTTTTTTTTCCTGTAAAAACCTGCTAGCTCAAACTCTAATCAACATTTTAGTACCATGTCCTGAAAGAATTCACAATCAAAACACCTCAATCTAAGGTCCTTCAACAAATACAATGAGTGGTTTTAGTCACTGTTTGAAAATTCAGATTTTGTAAGAAAGATTTTCATATATAGTCTAAAAGTTTCCCTTTGTGTGAGACTGGTATGCCTGCACAACTCAATGTGAATTTTTTAGTGGGAATTCACTGAAATTACTTACTGAAACAGAATAGCAAGCAATTTCTCTATACTCAAGTGGTTTATTCCTCTCCTCCTCTGGTCCATTCAATTTCACTCCTGCTCTACGGTGCCTCTGTTCTTCCACTTCTCTCTTGCCTTTGACTGTCCTGTCCTCATGGGC